TCACATAAGATTACCGAAGTTAGATCTCCCGAAATTCTCGGGGAAATACGACGAATGGTTCCCTTTTTTTGACTCGTTTAATACGTTGATTCACGCGAACACATCGTTAAATAATATTCAAAGGCTACAATATTTAAGAGCCTCTCTCGTCGACGACGCAAGTCGAGTCATAAGCGCGTTAGAAATTTCCGAGGTGAATTACGAAGTCGCGTGGAACTTACTAAAAGAACGTTACGATAATAAACGCGTCATTGTTCAGGCTCACATAAAAGCAATCATGGATTTGCCGCCCATGACAAAAGAAAATGTCATTGATTTGCGAAAGATCACAGATGGCGCGACGAGACACATTCAAGCCCTTCAGGCCCTAAAACGTCCTACATCCTACTGGGACGATCTGCTAATTCACATTTTAAGCCATAAGCTCGACGCGCTTACCTTACGAGAATGGCAGTTATCACTGACGAGTTCCGAGCTGCCTACCTTGAGGCAATTTATCGATTTCATTGCCCTTCGTTGCCAAAATCTTGAAACAAATACTAAGACAAATGCCGACTCTCCAAGGAGCTTCAATACGCGATCGTCGGTTAACGCGAAGCGTCAGTCATCGTGTGTCGCAACAGTAAAGTCAAGGTGTAACTTTTGCAAAGGAGACCATCTCGTATATTATTGTCAGGATTTCTTAGCATTACCGGCCGCACAAAGGTTGTCGGAAATTCGAAAGCTCAAGACGTGCACCAATTGTTTAAGATCTACCGATCACTCTTCAAATAAATGTACATCGGGTAACTGCAAAATTTGCAAGTCAAGGCATAACACTCTACTTCATCTAGCAGCCGCCGCGCCGGCAAAGGCTGCCGCGTCGGGTTCGCAGGACAACACCGCGGCTAGCAGCGGAGAAGCAGGTCCTTCTAACACTCTCGTCACGCATAGCGTAAGCGCTTTCGATAACAAGTGCGTTATGCTCTCAACTGCCCTTGTCTTCGCATACGATTGCAAGGGCGCGCGCAAACCTTGTCGCGTACTATTGGATTCAGGCTCGCAAGCCAATTTTATTTCGAAGCGATTTTCGGACTTGCTCAATCTTAAAACGCGCTCGCTAGATATTTCTATTTCCGGGATAAATAAGACAGCAACGAAATCGCACCAGGCAGCGGAGGTACGTCTGCAATCGCGTACAACTCCCTACAGCTTTTCTGTGGATTGCATCGTCACCGATCACGTGACAGACAAACTTCCCGCCTTCACATTGAGAAGAAGCGCGTTTGAAATTCCTCAAAATCTAAAATTGGCTGATCCACAGTTTCATGTCGCATCAGAAATTGACATGCTGATCGGCGCGGAGCATTTTTGGCATTTGCTTTGTGTCGGGCAAATCAGGGCATCTCCAGCGCATCCGACCTTACACAAAACTCGTCTCGGGTGGGTTTTGGCTGGGCGATTGGGCACTCCGCAGAGCTCACGAAAGACCGTGCAGTCCTTTCACGCGTCGGTAACTAATACTCAGCTGCACAATCAATTGTCTCGCTTTTGGCAACTCGAAGACGTTGCCGAAGCTCAGAATAACTATACCGACGAGGAGACTCAATGCGAACAACATTTTTTGCAGAACATGTCTCGTACTGCACAAGGCAGATTTGTGGTTAAGTTACCATTTAAGAGAAACGAACTCATTAATCTCGGGGATTCCAAGGACATAGCCACAAGGCGTTTTTATAATCTAGAAAGACGTTTCAATCGCGATCTTACATTAAAAAGTCAATACTCTCAATTCATAAATGAATATTCGGCATTAGGCCATATGAAGCTAATCGAGGAGCAACACAATGATTCAGAATCCTTTTACTTGCCTCACCACTGTGTTTTCAAATCCGCGTCGGGCTCCAGCAAGATTCGAGTAGTTTTTGACGCCTCGAGTAAGAGTTCATCCGGTATTTCGCTAAATGACGCGCTCATGGTGGGCCCAACCGTTCAGCAAGATCTGTTTTCAATCTTGTTACGATTTCGTACCTTTCGTTTTGTTCTTGCGGCTGACATCATTAAAATGTATCGGCAAATACAGATACATCCGTCTCAAACACGCTACCAGCGCATTTTGTGGCGGGACGACCCTACCTCCGATATCAGAACATATGAGCTTACTACTGTGACGTACGGTACTTCTTCCGCGTCATACTTAGCGACGAGATGCCTCAAGTGGTTGGCCGAGCAGCATGTTAATGAATTTCCACCGGATCCGCATGCGTTGGCCGGGATTTTTATGTCGATGACTTGCTCACGGGAGCGGACACGATTGAGGAAGCAGCAGCTATCCGCAATCAGACAATTGCATTACTACGCTTAGGGGCTTTTGAACTGAGCAAATGGGCGTCTAATTGCCCGGAGTTATTAACCGGTCTCAGCGACCAAGGTAATAACATTATCAATATCGATGGCGGCCAAGAATCCTCCATATTAGGTGTCCATTGGAACCAGTCTAAAGACACTTTTCATTTCTCATACAGGGCAGACGAAAATCGCGCCGCCACTTCTAAACGAGTTATACTTTCCGAAGTCTCTCGACTTTTCGACCCTCTCGGGCTACTAGGTCCTGTTATCGTCTTGGCCAAGCTAATTCTGCAGGAGCTTTGGCAGTTAGGTATTCATTGGGACGAATCGGTCCCACAAGATCTTCATTCGCGTTGGTCAAGACTCAGATCAGGACTGGCCGACATCAATCAACTCTCTGTTCCGCGATGCGCCAAGCTCAATGCAGATCCGCAATCCATACAGGTCCATGGCTTCTGCGATGCAAGCCAGCGCGCTTACGGAGCGTGCATATACATACGCACCAAGCTCGAAGGCGGCGTATATCACGTGGAATTATTATGCTCGAAATCTCGCGTTGCTCCTCTCAAAACGGTATCGCTGCCTCGTCTCGAGCTTTTAGCGGCATTATTGTTAGCCAGACTGGTTAAGAAAATCAGTACGTCGATCAATTTATCCGAGATGCAAACCTTTTTCTGGTCGGACTCAACGATAGTCTTAAATTGGATAGCCTCGCCTTCCCGAAGATGGTCAACCTTTGTGGCTAACAGAATCGGTGAAATTCAGAGCTTGACTGATCCCTCCGATTGGCGTCACGTCAAGTCATTCAATAATCCCGCTGACATTTTATCGCGTGGTTTAGACCCGCAGGAGCTAGCGAATTCTTCAATGTGGTGGCATGGCCCCTCGTTTCTAGAGCTAAACGATGATCGTTGGCCTAGCTCCGAATTCTCACGCACATTAGAAGGCCTTCCAGAACAAAGGAAATGCTTTTCGGCCGTCGCCGTATTAGATCACCTTATCATCAATGATTTGCTAATTAAACATTCAAATATCAACAAGGCATGTCGTATATTAGCGTATTGCCTAAGATTTTCGAGGGCCCGACGCCCGATCGCACCTAGTACCTTCGTATCTCATCAAGAAATTTCCGTCGCATTACGGATCATGTGCAGGTCGGCGCAGGCTCAAGCCTTTTCCGCGGAACGCAATGCATTGTGCAGGGGCGATGCCATTAGCGCATCTAGTCATATAGCATCTCTATCCCCATTTATAGACAAGGAGGGATTAATTCGAGTAGGCGGTAGATTGGTTA